ATCGCTTTCTCCTTTGATCAGGTTAGTATTTTTATGTCAAAATTGTGGTCAGTCCCGTGGGCAACCTATGATTTTGATATATTATTTTCTAAAATTTCCCTTTTGTATTCATATAATCTTTTATTTAGATTCCTTGAGGTTTCCTCTGTATATTTTTGTGACAGTTATTACAGGCGATAGCGCAAATTCCTCCTCCAGGTTTTAGCTTATATTTTTGTTTAGTATTGACTATTTTTATTGTTTTGTATGTAGTAACAAATTTATATATGAACGTTTACAGATTTATAGATTTAACATGTTTCGCTTTTAGTTAAGATTCAAAGAAAAAATTGACACATATTTGAACCCAATTCATATACACACACTGGTATTTACCCATTCCCCCACGAGAATGAGATGTGACACAAGGTCGGATTAATGTGGGGTCCCGAGCGCGTACACTCGGCCAGGGACAAAAATTCCCCCTCAGCCGCCGCAACCTTTCACATACAGTAGCTCCCTGCATCTTATTGGTATTATCGCCTTGCTCAAGGTGAATCGGTTAAAAAAAGCACTGCGGACATGAAAATTGCGGACAGCTTGATTGCCAGTATTACATTTTAAGTGATCAGTAGACCAGATGTTTCTCATCTGTGTGGGCTCCCTATATATAGACCATTCGGGCCTTACGATTAGTTGGGGAAAGTAAAACTGGCTCCCTCACAGGGAATAAACACTGAATGATGACTCAGTTTTTATTCTAAGCTGGACATGGGCAACCAATTTCGAATAAAAATACAAAACATCATAAGGCTGACCGCACTACTAAATAGAAAAACATCGAGGAAAATTTTCATTAAAGATACCACCGCCATTTTCCCAACAAAAGACCATACCTTAAAAATGGGGAAAAGTCAATGTTTTTTCTTTGGATAAAAGATTCCTTCTATAATTATAAAACAATGAAGTCTTGGTATAATATTATCATTGATGAAAGATCGATTAATACATACTTCTACATGCAATTTGTTTCTAATTTATTCAGTTCACTATGCAAAAAATATTTGTAAAATAAGAAGTATATTTATTCTCTAGAGAAAAATTATTATCATTGTCGTTTCCTGTTTCTAAAGCAAAAGATATTTACACGAACAATCTTCCGTAGACAAAATAGCCAATGGTTTAAAATGATGAAAACTTTACCTTCAAGGAAAAATAACAAAATTCAAGAAAAATTGTACTTTGTTTATGTATGTGGTTATACATAAGAGTGTGTGTGTGCGTCCGTGTTTGTGTGTCTGTGTAAACAAGTAAGAACGAAAGGAAACAAACAAGATTTTAATAACGTTATTTTCCTCATGAAATTAGACATGACAGTTAGAAAGGCAATCAGGCAGGCATATGGTCCGCGGCCCGCTGTTTGTCCATCATTGTTCTAAACGATCTTCATGGTGATTCCTTTTGCCCGCATTGCCTATATATATATATATATATATATAACCCCCCCCCCGTCGGTTTCGACGTATGAGCATCTGCCAGCTTATTGATTCAGTTATGAAAGATTATGCGATAATCTTAAGTGGCATTTAAAACCCGCTAGTGATTTACAAAGGAGGCCACATATGGAGCAGGTGCGAGAATTGTGAGATGAGATCACTGTTAGATTGGCTGACCTTTTAGATCTTGCTCTCGCTTCTTGAAGATGATTCAGACAAGCAGATTGCAAATTGCTGAGTCCACTAAACCACGTTGATCTCCATTCTACCCGCTCCAAAGCTAAGCGCTCAAGGGTGTTATGTGGTATATTAACTGCTGACATGTTGCGTTTCAGCTTGTCTTTGTATCTTAGCCATAGTCGTCCTACATTCCTGTAGCTCTGATCTAACTGGCTGTACATTAAGATCTTGGGTATCCTGTCATCAGACATTCTCAAGACATGACCAGCGTAACTGAGACTTATATATATATATATATATATATATATATATATATATATATATATATATCATGAAAAATCGCCGTCATATATATTAACTTTATATTAACTTCCTCAAATCAAGAATCAATTATTTTCTATCCTCCTTATCTTCATACCGCCTCCTTTTCCATTCACTCACCTCACTCTTCTTCTCCATCGATCTCCATAACTTCCTATTCTTTGTAGCTCTTAGCAAGGTTTCCCTTTTCACAATCCCTTCTAGTCTCTATTTATACAGGCTTCTTATGTAGGTTACTCGTTGCTTTTCCCTTGTCCCGCATATCTTCAATGCCATGTGATTATAGTGACTCAATTCACTTTCCATCGGTACGCAGGCAGTTTGCTACCAGCATAAGTTCTGGATTATTCTAATATCTTTCCCAAGCAAAACAACTTTCCTAGATGTTCAAACAGTTCTTTGTGTGGTATCTTATAAAACACTTTCCAAGTTCTAAAAAAAAACAAAACATAAGTATAAATCCTTGCTCGTTCTGATGTCATTCTGCGCATAAATAACGCATCATCACCATTTAAACAATAACATTGTGTAGCTCACGAGCCTTATATTGGGTGAACTAAATGTGAAATAAATATGATCTTTATAAATCTTTATGGAATAATACAGTGTAACCCGGATGTAAGAGAGTTGTCGTGATCGGAGAAGAAGTCTCTTATATCCGGGTTTCTCTTATATCCGGGTTTGGTCTATTTTATATACATTAACACAGGCTCTTATTTGGAACCAGAGAAAATCTCTCTTATATCCGGGTTTCTCATATCCGGGTCTCTTATATCCGGTTTGGTCTATTTTATATACATTAACACAGGCTCTAATTTGGAACCAGAGAAAATCTCACTTATATCCGGGTTTCTCTTATATCCGGGTTTCTTATATCCGGGTTATACTGTATATGAAATAAAGATGATCTTTTTACGGCTCAGAGAATGCGCAAAATGCAGACCGGCACCCATGTATTAAGCTTATTGATTCAGTAAACTATTATTGAACTAGACTCATAAATGGTTGCTCAAGAGACAGAAACTGAATAAGTAAATGAATTAGAAGTCATGGCATGTGTCACCTTAAATGATTGATACGACTTCTTGGGTTTAATTTACGCAGCGATGTTTCACTGTTTATGTAGATTATTTCGTTTTTCTTTGCACTGTTTTTATTCTTGAATATTTTGTGATGACAAAGCTAAGAAAAACGATGACCAAAATTAATGTTGCTCGCAACAGTAGCAATATTGCTGTAAGTTAAGCAAACTATCTATGTCACGTCGTAACAATGTGCTGACGACGCTAAACAAAACAGGTTATATCATTTTTCAACGGAATTGAGAAAATTCAGATTTGACGAGAAAGGTATGTTAGCACACAGTCAAATATGAGAAATAAAAAAAAACTAAAAATATTAATAGGAAAGTAAATATACATTTTAAAAAATGAATAATGATGCTTAACAATGCTTTTTTTTTAATCAATTCACCCCAAGCAAGACAATAATGCCACTAAGATGCAAAAGAGTCACTGGGAGTGAAAAAGAATAAGAAAACTTTAAGAGAAATCGGAAATCCAATCTTAAACTGGAAACAAGTCATACACATCTACTTCTTTTCAAAAGACCAGAGAGGAGTGGAAACTCAACGATAGGCGAGCCTATCTACTTCCATTGAGGGAAAAATAAAATAAAAGTAAATGAATAAATAGTAAATAATATTCTAGAGTTCAAACGAAGATGTTAAAAGTATAGAGCTGAAGTAGACTTTAGAAGGAGCCAGAAACCCGAAAGAAATATTAAGTTGCCAGATGAATTCGTTCATATGTTTTTTTTTCTTTTGTTTTTTCCCCCAGTCTATTTAGATTCTATTATTCTTCAAAAATATTAATAAGTCAGTAGTGTATACTTCTGCACAGATCCTGACTTATTGCAATCGTATCAATGCTTTGACGGTACAAATTCATTTAGTTTCGTTTTCAATTCCACGTCGTTGTTGAACGAAACGCTTCGCAGACTGTTAGAAAGCCACCGACAAAGATGAAAATCTGAAAACACTAAATCAGAATGCGTTGGATGTAGTAGAACTTCCCAACCAAGCTCTTGAAAAGCATTTTTGGTCAAATTAGCGATGTGGTAGCAGTGTCGTGTTGAAGAAGTAGGTGTGAAAAATGTTCGTTCTTGCCTGCTTGGAACTCCGTCATCATATGCCTGAAAAAGCGGTAAAATTCAATCAAATTTTTAAAAAACGATAAACAAATATTGTAGAGGAAAAGTAAAGCTACAAAAAACACTACCGTAAAATATTTTGAGTTTTAATTCAAATAACATTGGAAAGAAAAAGGAACGATTTAATCAGACAACCCAATAAATATAAATAATACTGCTGTTAGTTTAAAGTCCAAGGTAAATATGGAGCTATAAAGATTGTTGAATGAAGTGATGGGTTTCAAACGTGAAAGTCTGTTTTTTTGGGTTTTTTTATAGGACTTCGGGTTTTCGTAGCTCAGAGGGTACAGCAGAGGGCTTTTGTTAGTCTTCTCTTAACTATCTTTAGAGATATCTCGCCTTGTTCTGATTTATAGGTTACCTGAATAGATAGACATCTGCAGAAGGCCGGAGACCAGAGCTGCCTAAACATAATAATAATATCAAGGACAGCTACAAAGTCCGAATATAAATATTGACAGTTCGTCCTCCAAGAAATAAAACAAAAAAATCCTTTTCTGAGAATATGTAGCGTCGAGGATGCCCTATTTATTATGATTATTGTTTGTTTTTCGTCTATACTTTTTGCGAGATTTTTTATCTACCTGTCAGAGGGTATCCCCCAGAAGAGGCTCTGCCGAGGGGCGGAGTCTCGTCTCGGGAAACTGACTCCATTTTTACGTTGTCTGTAGGGAATTTTTGCCCGAGCCTACGGGCTCGGATACCCCACCTTTAAACTCGGCCTTGTGCCACATCTTGCTGCGTGGGGCAGCGTGTAAATAATTATACTTTTTATCTATCCAATTAAAGGTTCATTCTCAAATTCACCTAAGCTTACGGCCATATCACGTTGAAAAACCGGTTCTCATACGACCCCCGAAGTTAAGCAACGTCAAGCCTGGTCAGTTACCTAGATGGGTTTCCCCATAGGAATACCAGGTGCTGTAATATCTTAGAATGTTTAATCAGAGAGCCGAGTTCCAATTCCCGTTGGGTTCGTTATATTCACTCACGCGTAAATAAGATTAGGAAAGCCTCTTCTTCCCCAGCTTTAGGTTAATTAGTAACACTTGTATCCCTAAATCATTACTATCTTTAAAAAAAATCTCACAATCTAAAAATAATTTTTCTGTTTATAAATAACCTGCAAAGGGTTTATAAGCCTAAAAAACGAATCAATTAAAACGACTTAATTCATCTATCATAAGAATTAGCATTGCCTTTGACATCTGGTTAGAAGGAATTTTTTTTTAATAATTTCACCCCAGGCAAGGTGGGAATGCTACTAGTACGAAGGGGGCTATAGAAAGAGAAAATGTGCGAGAGGAAGGGTCGATGAAAGGATAAAATATGAACGGACTTCAAGAAGACAGAAAATAGCGATCGACGTTGCATTTAAGTTTTTGAGGATGGTTGGAAGCAAGTAAACGGAAGGGAGTTCCACAGGAGGGAAGTGCGAGAAAAGAAACGGTTGGAATAGAAGTGACCGTTAGATTTCACTATTTCAACAATAAACGTGTGGGACCTAGATATCAGCGCGCTTAAATTCATACTGCCGGGTCACCAGGGAAGAAAGCTCGTCAGAGCAGATGCCGTGAAAATATTTGTCGAAAAGACAGACAGAAGCCGCGCCGCGTCAATGAGAAAGTGACTGAAGCCGAGACACCAAATCATGATCTGTTACATTGCAGTTCCTTCTTTGGATTATTTCAAGAAACTCGAGATGAATAGCAGAAGCTTCAGACCAGATATGGTAGCAGTATTCAATAACACGAACGAATGGTAGATTTGTAAATGTGCAAGATGGATTCTGACGAGAAAACTTTCCTGACACAACACAGAGACTTAACTTTCCTTGCAGTAGATGCAGCTATTGACTCGATGTAATCGCTTCACTTTAAGTCAGTTGAAAATATGAGGCAAAGAAAGCACAGTATGTTGCTCTCCAGGAGTCTAGCGTCAGCCATGTTGATGGCAGGCAGGAAATTTCTCTGTTGGTTAATTCTCGCGATTTGTAGAATATTAATTTATTTAGAAAATAAGAAAAAGCAAGAACTTTCATTCCGATCAAACATTAAAACAGACTACATCTATCATAAACATTATCATTACCTTTGCTATCTGGCATGGAGGAAAATTCTCGCGGTTTGTACAATATTAATTTATTTAGAAAAAACGCGAGAACTTTCCATCCGACCAGACATTAATCCCGCAGAACATACGTTTCCGTCCTCAAAAGCTGTTTTTAATAAGCAAACATTTTCTGAATAAACATGACATGAAACGTCATGGAAGCGATTTGTGTGCGTGAGGAGGTTCATGCTCAAACGACTTGAATATAAATCATATTTGGACACGTGGAGTTAATGAGCCGTGTTCAGTGACTTTCTTTTGAAGATATTATGCTTGGAGGCAAACTAATACCAATTCATATTCTGATATTCACTGTATACTCACGTTCACATAGGTAGCTATTGGTTTACGCATCAACAGATATTTTTATATACAGCAAAGGCTGTTGAAAAGTTCTAGGCCCGACACACTTCCTGAAATCTGACCAAACGAGGAAACCTGCATTTTTAAAGTTGTATGCCTATATACAGTGGAATTATATTCTATTCTCATTGTACCTGGAAAAAGTTATTTTTAGTAGATATCCATGTCTGATTAGATGATCCGTTTATTTATGAAACAGTATAATTATTTATTTTCGCCTGAATACTAGGGAAATCTTATAAAAGAAAAATATGCTCTCTCTGGCAGGATACTAACAACGTTAGATCCGACGTGCTTATACCGACTTAGGCACGGAGTGTGTCGCCGATCAAGCGAAGAAGATGAATCGTGTCGCCGATCAAGCGAAGATGAATAGTGTCGCCGATCAAGCGAAGAAGATGAATCGTGTTGCCGATCAAGCGAAGATGAATAGTGTCGCCGATCAAGCGAAGAAGATGAATCATGTTGCCGATCAAGCAAAGATGAATAGTGTCGCCGATCAAGCGAAGAAGATGAATCGTGTTGCCTATCAAGCGAAGATGAATAGTGTCGCCGATCAAGCGAAGATGAATAGTGTCGCCGATCAAGCGAAGAAGATGAATAGTGTCGCCGATCAAGCGAAGAAGATGAATAGTGTCGCCGATCAAGCGAAGATGAATAGTGTCGCCGATCAAGCGAAGATGAATAGTGTTGCCGATCAAGCGAAGATGAATAGTGCCTTATAAACTCAAATCTTTCTCCGTCTCTCGAAATATTGATATCCACTCAGTTTCGTGTCCTAACGTAAACAAGGCCATTTCTAAAGTAATATATTTTATTCATTAATCCGACAGATTGTATTACTTAAACGTTATATATATATATATATATATATATATATATATATATATATATATATATATATATATATATATTTGTGTGTGTGTGTGTAGTACTTGGAACGTTATTATAGTGGACACGTTTTATTTGAAACAGACGGCCTATTTTTATCTATTAAACAGTCTGTTGGAGCAAAAAACATTGTTCTTCAGCAGAGATCAAACAGATTTTCTTTACAAAGATTTCTCGAATGTTCAAGCCAATAAGCAGTTTGGTTTGTTTTACGACATATCAACTTCAGTGGGTTATTTAATGCCGTATGATTTTTAATGCTGGTAATTTTTTTTTCAAAAATGTATTGGTGGTAATAATTTTTTCTTCAAAACTTCATTGCTGGTAATATTTTTTTACAAAAACATATTGCTGGTACTAAAACCTATTCTTGCACTTTCATAGTGTCTTGACCCCAGTTTAGGAGTTAACTATTTGCCCGTAGCTGGGACCCTAACAGGTGCTACCATTTCGATCAGCGGGGTAGACTGTTCTAGTTCCACGTGTCATGTTTGATGGATGTCAGTTATCAGTTATCTCCTGCTAATTTCCCTCTGAAAGTTCTCCACTGCCTTAACCGGGTATTGAACTCACACTCTTTGGCTCCTGTCACTGGATCTAACCAACGCCTTTATCCACTGTGCCATGTGTCCTCAAATAAAGGGTTCAGTTCGAAATTCCAACCACCTGAAGAAGGCCGGAGCGTACAACGGCCGAAACATTGTGACAAATATGGCGACAAAGATGAGGACAATAGTCCGACTAATGTAAATACTGTACATAATACCTCATCTCCGAAATATAGACAGACTCTGAATTACGATTTTATTGAATAAATTTACTCGTTAGTATTTCAAGATAATTTTGTGCAATTTTGGTAAATATATCCGTTAAAATGAGATGGCAGTGTTATTCTGAAATTTGCGTAATTTTGATGACAATTTATCCATCGCACCCTGTATGTGTGTGTGTGTGCGCGTGTGTGTGTGTAAAAACTGCTATTACCAGTGAATATATATGCTTTTATTACCAGTGAATATATATTCTTTTATTTTCATGTACACATTTTTTTGTCGATATATTATTAAATATTCTCACTCGCTCAAGTACTCCCTGGAGAGCATACTGAACAACCTGAACACAATAGGCGTCGCGGATGTAGTCCCCGTAGCAAATACGAAAAGCCCAGTCTTCCCTACTATTTGCTGAGGGGAGCTTAGATGGATTCATATTTTTCCAAAGGGTACTTGTGCGAAAGTGAATGCAACGAACTCGAGTAGAATTCGAACTCGCTTCTCGTTCTGAGCCGCTATTGGACCACCTGCGCATCCAGCGTTAAATAGATATCCATACATCTACAGTCATTATAAATTTGTCTACCTATAAACCTCTATTACATATGAATAACGCGTTTATCTCGCAAGCTAAGATGTTTACATCTTATCAGGTACTCTATAAAATGATGCTTCTCCATAGCACAAGAGTGCCTGATGTCACCTGTTGTTCGTCCTTTGCATTAAAAGATTTCAATGAAAAACGATGTTTGGTCTGAACAGAAGAGGGATACTGTTTATATTGCGAGAGATTGAAATGTGCCCTTCAGCACACCAGTTATCGCATAGAAAATATCATCTAAATATTTGTTTTATTCAGTAAACTTATGTTTTAACAGGTTTGGCTTTGGGGAACATTCTTGTAAACATCGAGATGAGAAAACTGGAAAGTCCTTTGATCATTATTTTCAGCCTCGCGCGCAAAAGAGTTCGTATGAAAACTTTGCAAACACATAAACAAACTCCGATCACACACATACACACATTTTGAAATTATAGATATAGATAATATTATTGTAATCATTTAAACTATTTATTTTTGTTACAACTTTTATGAAAGATATATACCGAAGAACAGATAGTAAATAGTAAAACGTTGCTGAAGGAAGTAGTGGAGAGCCATTGCCGCCAACTATTTGGACTCAAAACCGGTACTGAAGAATTATCTATCAAACAAAACAAATCATCGAAATCGGATGAAAACTGTGGAAATGCATAAAGAACATCTGATCACACGCACACACACACACACGCACACACACACACACACACACACACACACGCACACACACACACACACACACACACACACTAATATTTTGAGAATCATTATATATATATATATATATATATATATATATATACACTAGCAGCATGGCACGTCGTTGCCCGTGCTTGATTCAAAAATTGTACGACTCATACAGCAATCGCTATCACGTGACTTAAAATATTTTTGCCCTTCCTTGCCTTTAAAGGAGTGCCCTTTGCCGTACTGATGTTGCTACATGCCTTACTTCTTGCCTATCTCACACTGCGATTTTTTTCTAAGCTCTATACTAAACATTAAATCTGTTACGAAAAAAGAACTAAACAAAATGAACACAAAATGATCAGCTTTAAAAAAAGGACTCGTAACTGGAAAAACCGAATGAAAAAAGAATGTTAACAACAAATACTTTTTCACACCCAACCAAGTTCTGCGGAATCAGAATCAACGTTGAGTTTAAGCAAGCGAATGAGCCAATTGGA